TTCTTTATTTTTTTGTGTAATTTATACGATATAAACATTGAAGAAAAAGAAGACGTTAACAAATATAGGGGAGAGAGAGAGAACTCTGGCACCAACTTGTATGACAAACCGATTTAATTAAAGCCAAGTATTCAATGAGAATTTATTTATAAATTAAAGGCATATTAAGACTACTAAATATGATCTAACATTTCATTTGAACACATTTTACGAGCAAATGAAAACATTCCTCACAATTAGTCACTATATTTTGTTTTATTTCTAATTCATAGCAAATGTTTTCAAATTTGACAGTAAAATACTTTTGTAAACATATTTTTAAACATTAAAAATTTCCATATTTCCAAGGATTGCAATTCATATCCTATTAATTAAATAGTATTTAGATATCAATATATTTAAATTGCAATCATTAAAACTTTTAATTTAAAAGCATAAAAACATTGCACTAAATGATAAGTATTTACTTTATTGCTTACGATTTATAAAACTTAAAGTGATTCTCAGGTATTACACGATGAAAAATAACATAAGTTATATAAGATTTAGTTTTATTTGTAAAATATTATCTAAATCTGATTATTTAAATAAAATGTTTACATACATCGATAGTTGTTTGCATGAATTCAAAATTTGTTAATAATTAACCAATATCAAACTTACTGTCAACCAATTATCTATATTACAAACACATAAATTTGAAGTCATATAATAAAATATAACTATTTTTATGAGTCCATATATTTTAACTGAAGTTAGTTTTGTATTTTTTCATTAAATTAACGGTAAAATATTGGAGACGTTTAGCCACCAAAACCCTAATTTTATCTCAAGTCGGTGTCATTCATGCGGTTTGTGTATAGGATTCACAGGGAATGGAAAATGAGATAATGCATGAAAAATGTGTGCAAATAATGTTTATACAAATAATTGAATGTTTCCAACAATAGTTTGAATGGAGAGCCGAAACATCTAATTATTTATGCATTTTATGCATCAATTCTTGTCTGTAATGTCTGTCTGTAGTGAGGATTGACTTCAAAAAAGATTTTGCGATTGTTTTCAAGCGATAGTAAACTCAACAGAAAAAATCTAAAGAAAGAAAAACATGTCATTTAAAAAAGTATTGATTTCAAAAACTGATGCTTTTCTTCAAACTCTCACTTTTGAGCAAAAAGAAAAAATTAAATTCCCATCAAAATAAAAATTTAAGTACTCCTTAAACACAATTAACTTTATTTGTTTTGCCAATATTTGCACTTTTATTGCACAATAACTTCAAAACACAAAATTAAATGTTTAAAGAAATGTTTTTCTTATAATCGATGAGAATTTATGGCTTAAAAACATTGGATAAAAATGTTGAATAGGGTTTAACAATCTCTATATTGAATACCTTTGCAAAAAGTCAAACAAATAATTCAAAATCTTTGAGTACTTGTAATATAACAACCGATTAAAAGAGTTACCAAAAGAATTTATCAATAAATAAGATTTTTTCTCAAATCCAAGTAATGTAATGCAGACTCAAAGCAATATATCTTAATTTGATTCGCATATAAAATAAGTAATAAAAGTATTAATTGTCTCAAAAGGTGTACTGTTTTGCATCAGTGCGACGACGAGAGCGGATGCTGTGATGTCGGGTAAGAGTGAAACTAATTTTTATTTTAATATAACTTATACTGTATTTAATTCTTTACGCCTAAAGTAATCAAATCTTTCATAAAAGTGTCGAATTTTATTTCCTATTAATTATAAATAGATTGAGAGGTTATATAATCTTTTGTATTTTCATACCAAAGAGTTATTTTATTATTTATTATTCATTAAAATTATAACAAAAAGCATTTCAGAAGTGATTTATAATTTAATTAACAAAACTTTATATACATTGGAAATAAAACTAAGAAAACCGTCTTAAGTATTTAATAAATATCTTTAATGCCATTAAATGAATATATGTTTGAAATAAAGTTTTTATCAAATAATCTAAAGAATATAAATTATAATTGAATTCTAGTTTCGAGACTAGAAATTAAGATTTGCTTCTTTTTAAAGCAAAGTATTTATATAAAGACTTTTTGATTGAATTTAGATTATAGTGTTGTAAGACATGAGTCTCTCTTATCATTTCCATTAACTGAATACTAATTGCAAAACATAAAGAGAGACGACATGTGTTTAACACAAATATAATGTTAGAATTAATCAGATTTAATGGCAATTAAAGTCAAAAGTCAATTGAGTTAATGGCACTCATTTCCAAACAGCACAGAGCGATGTGTCGCCCATACGTCCCAAACGGTTGAGCTGTACTTCTATGTCATTCACGCCGACCTTAAGGACAACAGCACCGGAGGCAACGGCGGACGCACCGAAGCGCTCACATTTGTCAATCACACCAAATGCCATTGTCTGGAGATTAATTACATGCCCCGCACCAAACCCATGNACAAGAATTGATGCATAAAATGCATAAATAATTAGATGTTTCGGCTCTCCATTCAAACTATTGTTGGAAACATTCAATTATTTGTATAAACATTATTTGCACACATTTTTCATGCATTATCTCATTTCCCATTCCCTGTGAATCCTATACACAAACCGCATGAATGACACCGACTTGAGATAAAATTAGGGTTTTGGTGGTTAAACGTCTCCAATATTTTACCGTTAATTTAATGAAAAAATACAAAACTTCAGTTAAAATATATCGACTCATAAAATTAGTTATATTTTATTATATGACTTCAAATTTATGTGTTTGTAATATAGATAATTGGTTAACAGTAAGTTTGATATTGGTTAATTATTAACAAATTTTAAATTCATGTAAACAACTATCGATGTATGTAAACATTTTATTTAGATAATCAGATTTAGATAATATTTTACAAATAAAACTAAATCTTATATAACTTATGTTATTTCTCATCGTGTAATACCTGAGCATCACTTTAAGTTTTATAAATCGTAAGCAATAAATACTTATCATTTAGTGCAATGTTTTTATGCTTTTAATGATTGCAATTTAAATATATTGATATCTAAATGTTATTTAATTAATAGGATATGAATTGCAATCCTTGGAAATATGGAAATTTTTAATGTTTAAAAATATATTTATAAAAGTATTTTACTGTCAAATTTGAAAACATTTGCTATGAATTAGAAAATAAAACAAAATATAGTGACTAATTGTGAGGAATGTTTTCATTTGCTCGTAAAATGTGTTCAAATGAAATGTTAGATCATATTTAGTAGTCTTAATATGCCTTTAATTTATAAATAAATTCTCATTGAATACTTGGCTTTAATTAAATCGGTTTGTCATACAAGTTGGTGCCAGAGTTCTCTCTCTCTCTCTCTCTCTCTCTCTCTNTTATACTCTACACTATATTGTGTACACTGTATGCATGCCTTGGCATTAAAGCCAGAAGTTTGTCTCGTAATCTGTTCAACAGTTTTACATTTCTTCTTAAATCTCTCTCTCTTTCTTTCTTTCTTTCTTTCTTTCCAAGTTTTGTTAACGTCTTCTTTTTCTTCAATGTTTATATCGTATAAATTACACAAAAAAATAAAGAAAAACAACTCTTCGTATTCAAACTCATTTCAATGTCTGATGTAATCATTTATTTGTCTGTGACTTACTGTTGAAGAAGACACAAAAAACTTAATAAAAAATACAAAATAAAAATAAATGCACTCAATCTTACACTTTGTTGACACAAATTAGGCGTTTCTTACAATTGAAGTAAAATTAACAAAAGAGATTATCTATTCAAAAAAGTAGTTCCGTTTCAAACAATTTAATGGAAATGTATTTATCTATTCCTTGTTTACAATATAAAGTCATTTATTATTTATAAAATTTGTTTTTTGAAAGAAAGTTAACAATTTTTAAGGACTGCCACACTATTTGTATTGTAAATTTGATGCCTTTTAACCCAAAATCTAATAATTAATTTTAATAGTTAATTAATGAATACATGAAAATGATTAATTGAAATACTTTTCACTTTCACAACAGAGTGAATGCTAATCAACTAATTATAAGCATAAAAAATAAGTAAAACTTTTCAGTAATTAATGAAACTTTTATTTAAAGTAAACTAGAATTGAGACGATAGTCATTGGCCGACAAATGCATTGAAATAAGTTTTTCATAAACAGAGAGAGATAGAGAGAGAGAGAGAGAGCACAGGTTTATATCATATATTATAACATAATATACAAAATGATAAAACGTTGTTCATTTGAGATCTATTTTTAATATTAGATATAATAAAAAATTGTCATAGATTTAACATTTGATTTTTTGGGATTAATAGCTTGTGATGTTTAAAAACATTTATCAATAGGATTAGCACTACTGTACATATAAGTAATTAATGAGAGGTAAAACAATTGACCCTAAAATATGCCCTTTTAATTATAAATGTAATTTTGTGCAAAATATATAATTACCGTTTAGTTTGGAGATTATATTAGAAAATTGTATTTTCCTTCTATTATAACTAAAAATAATAATAAATATATGAAAAGTAAATATAATTTGCATTTTATTTACAATGAATATATGATGAGAGAGAGAGAGAGAGAGGGAGAG